TCAATTGAACCAAGTGGAAGGCCAACCTTAGAAGAAGTCCAAGGTGGACTCTCTTGCCACATTCACTGAGGACGATCTGGAGAGAATTCAAATGCCTCACAACAATACACTGGTGATCTCAGCCAACATCGCCAACTTTAGAGTGCATTGGATTTGCATCAATATAGGGAGCTCAATTGACATTATTTTCAATAAGGCCTTGCAAAGAATGAAGATAAGGTGAGAGTATTTGCATCTAGTGAATACCCCTTTAGTCAACTTCTCTAGCAACACTACGAGGCCAAAGGAAAGCATCACACCCTATTGCTCATGAAGGGGGAAGGAAAACAGAAAACCACATTTTTCATAGACTTCCTAGTAGTGAAAATTCCATCTCCAAACAATGTCATCCTTAACAGCCCAATGTTGAACGTGTTAAGGCTTCAATGTCCACATACCACCTCACACTGAAGTTGCCAATTGAGCATGGCATTGGAACTATTCGAGGAAGTTCTCAACAATGCCATGCCACAACATTGAAGGGAAAGATGACCTCTTAAGAAGCCATTGCCTTTAATGGCATAGGCCTTAGGGATGAACTCTAAACACAATCTGACAAGCTTGTTGATGATCTAATTTAAATATGCCCAGAATCGACCCCTAGATTATGACCCATAGACTCATCATCAATTTGCACAACCAATCTATGCAGTAGAAGAAGAGGAGCTTCGTACTAGAAAGGTGACAAGTGATAAGGGAGGAGGTTGACAATCTCCTTGCCATGGACTTCATCTGAGAAGTGGAATACTCAGATTAATTGGTGATGAAGGCTAAAAATAGCTTCATCAACTTGAACAAGACCTCCTAAAAGATAGCTTCCCCTTGTTGAGGATAAGCCAACTCTTTGATGCCACCTCGAGCCAGAAGATGCTCAGCTTTATGGATGGATTCTTGGGCAACAACTAGATTCAAATGCACCCATCATTGACCGAGGGCTTTATTTCTACAAGGCGAGGCCCTTCGGCTTGAAGAATGCGGGCATGACCTATAAGTGACTGATGAATATGATATTCAAGGACCAAATCAGTAAGAACGTCAAGGCCTACGTAGATGACATGCTAATGAAGAGCCTCAAAGCCGAGCAACACCTAACCAACTGGAAGAAGTCTTTAACTCCTCTACACTACTAGATAAAGTTAAATCCGACCAAGTGTTCCTTTGAAGTGGGCTTGGGTAAATTCTTAGGGTTCATGGTGACTTAATAGTGGAATGAATCCAATAAAAAAAAAACAACCATCCTAGATATGCCCTCTCCTTGGACTATTAAGGATGTGCAATGCCTTACAGGCCAGATAGCCACTCTTAACAAATTCATGTCAAAATCTATAGACCAGTGCCTGCCTTTCTTCAAAGTTATCAAAAAGGCAAATGGTTTCCTATGGACTGAAGAGTGTGAGCAAGCATTCCAGTAGTTGAAACAACTCTTGTGCTCACCCTCTCTACTAACCAAACCAAGCCCAAATGACAAGTTGCTCCTGTACCTCTCCGATAAAGATGTGGGAGTTAGTTAAATCATCATCAAAGAAGAAGATGACATGTTGAAGCCCATATATTACACCAAGAAGATGTTGCAAGATGTTGAGACCAGGTATTTGGACCTGAAAAATGTAGTATTAGCCCTTGTGACCTTGGCATGCAAGCGTTAAGCCTACTAGGCCCACATCTTTGTTCTCACCGACAACCCCTAGGGCAAGTGTTTTAGAATCCTGAAACCTCGGGTAGATTGGTTAGATAGGAAATTGAGCTCAATGAGTTTGACATTGAGCACAGGCCTCAATCCACCATTAAAGCTTAGGTGTTGGCTGATTTTATTGTTTAGTGCACCTTCACCTTGGTGCACACCAAAGAGTCCTCACCGACTTGGACTCTCCATGTGAACAACTCATCAAATCAACAAGACAATGGTGCCAGCCTATTACTCCTCGAGACGAAGGACACTATCCTCGAATACACACTCAGATTTGAGTTAAAGGCTTCCAACAATGAGTCAAAGTATTAAGCACTCATTGCATGTATCCAATTAGCATAAGAGATTAGAGCATAGCATGTGGGAAGCCTTCAACGCTTCTTAGCCTCTCATAATCCAAATTAATGGTGAGTTTGAAGCTCGCGATACCACCATGGTGTGCCACTTATAGAAGTCAAAGAAATCATCATTAGATTGAAGCACTTCACTACACAACAGATTCTCTGCTGGAGATAAACTTGTAAATGGTATTCGAAAATCTAAATTGGAATTTGAGATTCAACATAATCAAATCGAATTTGAATATATATATATATATATATGTATATATGTATATATAATTGAATATATACAAGCATTTATTTAATTAATGAGTGTATAGAGGTAAAACAAATTAGGAATTAGGACTCCAACCCAGGTCGACTAAGTCATTCCATTCGATTCACCCTACCTCTCTACCCTCTTATCTTTCTCTCTAAAATTTCCAAAACCCTTAGTTCCTAACCCTTTGTCGTTGCCCAACTCAAGCAAACACCACCACTAGCGCCAGTAGTCCAACACCAGTCACCGGCCACCTTTGTCATGCTACTCTTTGAGTCTCTCTCGATTAGTCGTTCGCCAGTTTGCTAGTTCACCACTGCCCAACTCAAGCAAAGAAACCACCACTCCAGTAGTCCAGCCGTCCAACACTAGTCATCAACCACTGTCGTCGCACTCACACCAGTGCACCTATTCCGGCATCAGGCCATTTTTTGGACTATAGATCTGGGGTTTTTAATTTGACACTCTAGTGCAAAGAGGTGATTATTTCCTCTTCCCCTTTCTCATGTAATCTGAAACACAAAAACCTAATCCAATAGTCATATGTTTCTCTTTTTTTTTTCTTTAAGTTAGAATGATTTGTTTTTGGGTTTTGTTACATAGGAAGCTTAAAAATTTTATCATGGAATTGGAATGTCAGGGGTTATGTTACAAAATTTTTTGTCCTAATCTTAAATGATATTGTGAATCTTTATTGCTTCTCTGTCATAAATGAGAAGTGATTATGTTGCAAATTTTTTTGTCCTAATTCCTAAATGATATTGTGAATATTTGTTGCTTCTCACTTCTTAGTCATTTTATTTTATATTTTGTAATCTTAGTTTAGCTTCCATTTTACTTTTGAGGAAAATATTAAGTATGTTTAGAACAATTAATCCTTTCCAATATACTAGTGGACCTAATGCCAATAGTGAGAATGGTGAAAATGTTAATAGTCGTAGTTCTTCATTGCCCCCACTAGTTTCTAGAAAAAGCAGAACATCTGAAGTGTGGGTGCATTATGACATAATCATGAATGCTAAAAAATGAGGAAATGGTTGTTTGCAAGTATTGTAAACAAGATTTTAATGCTACAAGCGCTAGGAGGACGACTCGTCTAACTAATCATGTTTCAAGATGTCCACAAAGATTACGAAAAGGACAAAGAAATGTTGAACAACAATTGTTGACAATTTCTAAAATGTAAGTGAATCGGACTTAAGGGGTGGAGATATGATCCCATAAAGAGTGGATATGACTTTGCAATTTACCTATTCAAACATAACCAACCATTTAGCATGGCAGAACATGAGTTTCTTGAGATTTGGGCTATTGGTCTTAATGCTATGTTTAAAATACTTTTATGCAACACAATTAGGAATAATTGCATGAAAATCTACGAGGATGAGAAAGAGAAACTTTATGACATTCTTGATAAGCTTGATTCCCAAGTTAGTCTCACTACTAATATATGGACATTAGGGCAAAATATTGGATATTATTGTTTAACTGCACATTACATTGATGATGAGTGGCAATTAAAAAAGAATATTATAGGTTTGCGAGCTGTTAAAGAGAAGCATGATATTATAACCCTTACTAGAGTCATCAAATATCTTATTCTGCATTAGAACCTTGATGGTAAAATGATCGCTTTCACTCTTGATAATGCCTCTATGAATGATGTTGTAATTAGAAACATGAAGAAATGGCTTTCTGGGCAAGGTAAACTTCTTTTGTCAGGTGAATTGTTCCATGTGTGTTGCACAACAAATACTTTGAACCCATTGTGCAAGATGGGTTATAGGTTGTTAGGCACTTGATGGGAAAAATAAGAGAATCAATCAAATATTTACAAGCTTTAATCCAAATAAATCTGAAATTTGAAATGGCAAAAAATCAATTGAATATTCATTGTAAAAAGGAGTTGGTTTTAGATTGCCCTACAAGGTGGAATACATTATATGATAGGCTCAAAACTGCACTGGAGTATGGGGATGCATTTCTTAATTGGAATAAATTGATAAAAAATATAAATTTAGTCCATCTTCTGAGGAGTAGAATATTGGTCATGTTGTTTGTGAATGTTTGGAATATTTTTATGAGGCAACTAATGCATTTTCAGGGACTACGTATCTAACTTCCAACTTATTTTTTCCTGATATTTGGAAGATTCGTATGCAGATTGATAAGTGGCTACTGAGCAAGCATGATTATATTCAAGCAATGTCTATAAAAATCATGGGAAAATTCAAGAAATATTGGGATAAAGTTAATTTACCACGTGAGGAGCACAACGACACTCCCCTGTAGGTATTTATGGGCACACCATCCAAGGTACTTCTCTCTCCACTTTCTGGCATTTTAACTCTCTCTTTAGCCCTTTAGACTTTCTAGCGCAACTCAGCTATGACCAGCTCGGCCTAACCGACGTCTTTATCCTCTTATTGACTTGAGCATCAGAGTGTTCCTCCACGGGAAACCATCTCAGGATCTCTGGCCTTCTCTTCTTTCAAGTCATAATTAGATCAGCTTCAACTTGTCCAGCTTATCAAGACGTTTATCTGTTGTTCATCCACCTCAACTTAGACAATATCACTTTATATATAGTTTATAGATAGATAAGAAACTTAAGTATAAATAAATTAAGCATAACCTTTCACAACAGTCTATTTAATTTCCATGCATTAAAATATATAATTAAGACATATTACAAGTCGGGCCTTCATTAATTCCACAAAAATACCACACATATACTTGTTCATCACCAAAAAGATAAAGTAAATAAGGGGAAAGGGACAAAAGAAAGCATATATGACCTTTAAAATTGCTCCTTTAGGCTCTTGAACCATGCCTATCCTGCATTATTATTTTACATTACACATGGAGATGGATAGATAGATAGATAGATACATAGAGAATATTGATCAACAAGCTTGTGCGACGCACATGCAGCCTTCTTCACATTTGAAGAAAGAATTGGCACTATCAGCTGGTCCCTCAGTCCTGGTGACGACAATAGTCCATCCTTCTCCACACTTGCACAACACCTCACCTACACCGGGACACGTGGCTAACTTGACTGGACAACTAGCACCCGCCGTGCAGGTGCAGCAGCCTTCACCGCATTTGAAGAAGGCCTTGCCACTATCAGGGCCTTCAGTTCTGGTGATGGCACAACTCCATCCTTGTCCACACTCGCAGAACGCCTCGCCAGCGCTGGGGCACTCCATTTCATCAGTTGTAGACTTGTTTGGGCTGTCAATACTGCAAAGCGTATACTCAACTTTGATGTTTTTGCTTCCCGATACAGACCTACTAGCAAAACAGAAGGCTATACTTTATTAGATTTCTTATAATAATCACTGTGGTCTCATGTGTATATGTACATCTTCCAACCGATAAATAGAGTTTATGTACTGGGGTAATTAATTCATCAACTTACCTGCAGCAATCGCCTTTGCCGGAATCAGTAACCTTCCCAGTCTCGGCCATTCTTTCTGATCGATCTGCTCAGCAAGACAGCTGGTTTTGTAGTACCCTTGGTTTATAATCAAGCTTGATATGATCTAATTAAATAATGGAGAAATATTCACCGACCTTAGTTTGGATTTTTAGAGCATAACGTGTCATCAGTTTTCACCTTCAACATTGAATCTTATCGCTACATATATAATGCTAAGTGCTGCCAAAATATCATGTATATGGCACCGTATATGAATACATCATGTATTGCGTAAGCATCTATATAATGATTGATCCCATTGCATAACTTTAACCATTACGGTGGATTGTTTGTTTTTGTGGTGTCTCATCAGATTTATTGTCAACTTGGTGATCGAAATTCAAGGTTCAAAATATCGATTGAGGTATCGTACTGTATTTTGGTTCGTTTTTATTTATTTATTTTTTAAACTGGTTCAGAGGGGTTATGTCAGACCCTAAAACACCGCTATGAAGGCAAATCGAAATGCCACCCATATCAACCGATACAGTCAGATATATATCGAAATTTTGAACCTTGCACCAATCACTAATCACTGATGAGCACTGGGCAAAGATTTAGAGGATTTAAGAGGCAAAAGTGCTTTATTTGAATACAATTTGGACGGGCATAGATGGTTAAATGAATATTAAGGTATATATGAGTACATAAAAATCAAGTACTTTAATTAATTACATGAATGGAACATTTATATTGATAATAAGAAACTTTAACTCGCATAAAAATGATCAACATAATGAAAGCACAAAGTATATTCTAAAATGAAAATGGAATGAAAAAAATTAAAAAAAAAAATCAGACAAAACAAAAGAAATAAGCACCACCAAGAACAACAAGGATTTATGAGGTTTGAATTATTTTAGGATAAAATATAAAAACCTCCCATAAAATTTCATTTTAACAAAAACCTCCCCTGAACTTTTGGAAAGCCCAACACATACCTCCCTTCCCTCCTTGACCCATATGAAAAACGTTTGATTTATACATTAGTTTTTTCAAAATACCCATTTTACCCTTTTTATATATGATATTCATATAAACTTTTACTAAAATAACCCTAAAAAAACTTCAACATGAATCACCCACTTGACGTCCTCTGTCTTATCTTTCAATCTCCCATATATGGAGTTTAGAAGAGAGAGGAAACATTCAGCCACCATAGACAATCAATCGCATGGCTGAAAGATATATGACAATTGAGTTTTCCATAGAGGGACCCAAGATGGGTATCAACCTTGTTTCTGAGGTCACGGCCATGGCCAATTGAACTATGCAGCATCTCCTCTAAAATCATAGCTAAGCCTCACTCTCTCTCTCTCTAACAAACCCTCGTTTTCTCTTTGATCTCGTTTTAAGACTCAACATTTTAAATAGAGAAATTTACATATCACTTTAGAAACTCTATCAGAGAGGTCACCCTTCTCTGTTTCCTGCACTAAAACAAATCCCACCAAGAAAAAAGAGGGTTAAACTTTACAAAGCTAATGCAGCGTGGAAGCAATGGAAAACCGGAGCTGGCTATGCAAGCACCGGGCGTTCGCTAGCACCTAGCGAATAACACCGATTTCTCTAGGAGAGAGAAAAGGTAGCGAAAACTCAAAGAAGAGAACTCAAGAAAATCTGTAAATCTGAAGTATGAATTGATGAATAACTTTGGGAAAATAGCAGTATTTATAATACATTTGGAAATTGTAAAAGAACTAGGAAATAATAACTAGG